TAATTAACATCAAAACATTCAGCGTCTCGTTGCTTCAGCTGAGCAAAAGAACTATGTTCTGCTAAAGAACAATAACTGAGCTCTATGTGGTGTTTCCTGCACAGAAACGGTGTCTTCTTTAAAAACACTTCCTCTTTTAAATACTGAAAATTACTACATGTATGATTGACTGTGAAATAATTAACACAGAAATAATTAAGAGTAAACACAAGAAAGTCCTGATGCATCTCAGTAATCCAGATAGAAAAAAAATCAAAAAGAAAACATAAGTAGGTTCTCTGGATGGGTTCTTCTTTAGTGAAACGTTTCATCTCTCCTCCAAGAGACTTCTTCAGTCTGAGAGTTTCAGGTGAAACTCAGCCTTATAAGCACTGCCTCCACCTGGACAAACAGGTTAGTCACATGCAAAAGAGGGTCATCGACTAACAAAAGGCTTGATTAGCTCTATTGTTCATAGAGGGTCATGTGCCCCATCACCTGACGTATTGATTTGGATGTTTCGGCTGTGGTTCTTTGATGTTGTGTTATGTGTACGTAGTGAGTGCAAGCGGGGTTCAACGTCCCCTTGGTTTTGTCTCTCTTTTCCTCTTTGTGTTGGTATCATTGGGGCCCTGATTCACACCTTTTGCTCACAGGGGACTGAGTCATACTTGCAATAACGGCATTGTAGGAGGACGACAACTGGACACAAAGGCCTCCACCTCTGTTTAATGGTGGACCATTTTTCTTCACAAAGATCTCTCTTAAGAAGTCTCTTGAAGGAGAGACGAAACATTTCACTAAAGAAGAACCCATCCAAAGGACCTACTTATTTTTTTCTTTTTGAGTAAACATAAGACTTTTACTCACTGTTGAGTTGTGGTGAGTAGCCATTATCTTTATTTCTAAACTCTCCCATTTTCCAACAGGAAATTTCCACATGAGGGGGCATTCCAGCATAAACTTGCAACTTGTAAGTGGGAAATTCCTACTTACCGGGATAACTGGGCACCATTAAATATAGCCTGCAAAAATGCAGTAAAATGGAGATTTTACTTGCTGAATCTGGCTGTGCACCTCCGCTTAGCGTTGGGTTCCTGTAATTTATGGGTAAAGTAATTGACTTGCATCATGGGAGATGTAGTCCATGGTCAATGCTAGCTTTAAAGCAGCAGAAGCTTATTTTAAGAATTTAGTACATTTTTGAATCTTTCGCAAGCTATATACATGCTGTGGTGCGTCACAATTGACCCACGGGCCTTGAGTTTGACATGTGATGGAAAGGTTTATTAAATAACTTTTGAATAAATTGAAAATGATTTTATGTTGTTTCAAGATGACAGTATTCCGCTATGGTCTTAGCCCTGTTCAAACTAGTCATTAGCTCACCAGTCCTGTCAAAATGAAGCAATAGATAACATATCTGAACTGTTAATGTTACAAAAATTATTATTTTCTTACTTTGCATGAGTCTAACCCTGTATATATTTTTCAAACCATTGATGGTAGATAAGCTTTTTTTCTGGTCAGCGCCGACTATAGAGTTTTATGAAATATTAACAATTTTTAACTACATAGAAAATTGTTCAGTGCTGTTTAGCATGTCAGAATGTTAACATGCTAAGCTGTTGGTGAAGATCATTGCTATATTTGCAGTTTTGTGCAGTAGCTTTATAACTAATAAAACACTGACATCAGTTCAAACTCCCACTGTGTCTGCAATAAGTGCAGCCTAACCGAGTCAAAAACAGCATCTTGTAGCATCTCTAAGTGATGGTTACACTGATGACAGATTAAACATGTCCAGTCCTGAAACAACCTGGAAACCTGAGGTTAAAAATGAACCAAAAACACCCTTTAACTAAACGAAATGTCTCCCTCAGTGGAATAGATGCTCGTTTATGGAGAGACTAGACCATACCATGCAGCGACACATAATGATGGTGGAAAATATATTAACTAACACACATCCAGTTGAGGCTGTCTCTTGTTTCTTGTTTCCAGCATTCATACACGGCCCGTTCCTGTGAAGATATGGAAATATGTGCTTTGCATTAGTCAACTCGGTTTGCATCCTTTGAGAACTCGGAGCTGGCTTTATTTCAAATGTTCTTTCTTTAATTATTTTATTTTAATAAAGAAAACTCTGTACCTCCAAATAATCAAATTATTAGGTTCTGTAAGAAAAAGTGGCAAGAAATATTCTAATTATTAATGAGAAATTTTTAGTGCGCACAACTCAAATTTCCTTATAAAAAGGGAAAGAGAGTAAATGGGTGCCTGGTTCTGAAGGATCAAAAAATGGAATAACCAGCACTCCAAAAAATACTATTTAATTAATACAAATCTATATAAAGCATTCTGGATCCACTCTTTACAGACTGTTAATCCTAAAGGACTTAATGAAGAACTGGCGTTGAACTGCTTTCTGTGATTTTTGTCCTTTTTGTAAAAACATTTTTTTGTAATTTTTCTGTGATTTCATGTATTCCTATTTATTGTATATCATTGAAGTCTGCTAGTTGTGCATGTTAGTCACAGATGTTTTTTTTTTTTTTGGGCTGATCACCCAACCTGTTTGTGATTGGCTTAGGTGTTTTTTTAACTCTTTATATAGATTTGTATTTTGTCTGATCTGTAACAAGTTGACGACAGCATGTAGCTGAAACGCGCCCTGTTTTCTGCCCTTATTAAAACAATAGTATTTTTTGGAGTGCTGGTTATCCCATTTTTCTACTTATTAATGATAAATATTACCTAAAGGTAGCATACTGGTACTATACCTCCAAAACTTTAAATTATGTCTTGTCACATATTCTTCAGACAGTGTTAAAAACTCAAGTATGTCAAGGAGAAGGCAGCAAAGTCCTGTTTTATTTTTTGTAAACTGTTGCAGTCGCGTAAAACATGAGATGTTTAGAGTCCGAATATGAATTATAAGAGCTGGGATGTGGCTCTTCATATATCTATAAGAGCTTATCTTCTCTGAATCATCAGGTAGGTTAGAGAGCAGCAGGCTGCGTGTGGTCATTTTTACAGGGTGTGTACGTTTAGTAATGAGGGTGTTCTGCACAAACATGAGGTGATAGCAGTGATGTGGAAAGGAGATAACTGAGGGAGCAGTGAATGCTGACTGTTTCGTCAGTCACCCATGTTGCAATTTGATATCCAACACTTATTTGTTGTGTGTTACGCAAAATTACATAACATACAGTTTGAACTCAGACAACATGAACTATTCCGCTCATTTATTTGTGTACAGTTCCATACAGGAACACCTTCACTAAGCCATTTGTGTTTTAATATTTTGATGTATTAATTGAACCAGTTACAGTTGTGGTCAAAAGTTTACATACACTTGTAAAAAAACATAATGTTATGGCTGTCTTGAGTTTTCAATAAGTTCTACAACTCTTATTTTTCTGTGATAGAGTGATCGGAACA